GTCAACGAAATTTCCCAAGCTGTATTTCAAAGATCCATGCCATAATGTTAGAAGACCTAACTGTATACTTCTGAGGATCAGAAACTGGCTGAAACCATGCTTCACGGTTAAATAATTTTAGGCTTAGTGCAATGTTTGCCTCTGTGAACCAAACTGTGGTATGCAAATTTTGCCGAAATAACGGAATTTGTAAGCTGCGACAAACATTTGTAATAACAATGTGGTGTAGTAACCGCGTTACAAAATAATTATTTATAATGGTTCGTTTTCAGCTGTTTTCCTTCCCAAACTACAGAGACAAACCATATTTGAAGAAAAGCACCAACGCACATTGCTTTAGATCTTTACAAATAATTTTAACTACCCATGTCTAAAGTAACGAAATAAATAGGTTTGTATTTCACTATTTGATGCTTGTATTTAGACAGCAGCGTGGTCAGCTTTGTTGGAGAAACATTTTGCACCAGTTGGCTCTCACCCTTATGAATAGTCTGATCAGTTAACCCAATGTCATATTTCTCTTTTTTGCACGGGATACTTGTTATCTTTTTTGTCAATAAGTGCAGCCTTTGCTCAAGAAATAAACTTGTAAGATTTCAAACCCACAAACACCTGCTACCTAAATGCACACTAGAAGGGAAGTTTCTTCACGAAATATCAACGCTAAGCCATTCGTACCACCATGGACATTCAGTTCTGCAATGACGGTGAGCAGCTCCATATTCTCTGCACTGTCAACTCTTTTTTGATGTTTTTCACTGTACAACCCATGTTATTTATACACAGGGGTGCCATACGGACACCCTTCTAAAATTGAGTGCAGTCTTTAGCTCAACAATGTGCCCAAAAGAGGACTTAGAAAATGCAAAGTAGATTTCGGTCAAAAATACATTGTTGGAAGAATCTGCTAAGTGACTGATACTTATGACATTTATTAGCAGAATTACTATTAAAGGTAGTTGGTGATACTCTCTCGCTAATAAATGAAATGCGGTAGAAGATATTGGAAATGTTCCTGAATCTGGATGTTCGAATAGGAAAAATGCAAAGAATGAAAAGAAATTTTCGGTATAGAAATATCAAATAAACTAACCTCTGCGCATTGAGAAGTGACCTTTTTAATATAGTTGTTTCTGTCGGTGTCTTGTCACATGAACGCAGCAAAACAAATTGTGCACATTCGTTCAGCCCATAAACCATTCTTACTGTCTAATTTTGCTGTTTCCCAAAGTCCTCACAGTTTATTCTTTTGGATACAAAGTCATGTTTAAACATTTTTCTCTACGCTGACGAAAACATTCGTTCTCTGGTTGCATTTTACTACCTAGTGTTTTCGGTGAAATGACTACAAGCATTTTACAGGCTAGTTTATTTTATCGAACAGGACACTGTAATGCAGTTGCTTGACATTCTTATGGGACAAATTTGGCAAGGTTAGAAAACCAGTTTAGAGGATGTCAGTCCTTGTATCTTAGAGCTGCTCTTTTAGCATCACTACCACACCGCAACCGAAACAACACCCACAAACTTAAATAATTAGCTATATTGGCATCTTTCGTATCAATATAATATTTTACCAACTAAAAAGACCCACAACATAACACCAGCAAATGGGCTTGCGTAATACCGATACCCTGCACAGCTTCTCCTTTGTCCTACTTTACACTTGGTGGCATGGAGATCAAGCAACACACAAGGTTATATGCCATTTCAGCATGGACGTATGCCACCTCTCATTACATGATTAGGGAATGCATAAAAATTTGCATTGGCGCAGCAGCTAAATACTGTTGAATTAGATTTTTGCAGGAATTTTGACGTTATTTTAATAGCATTTCAAGGACTTGTGTGATGGTTGTGGACTTGAGGCTAGGAGTACATACAGCAGACAATGTCAGTCAAATAAAATGCAGAATTAATGCAAGCGGATTTGGGGAAGACAAGGAATGGAGTACTGCTCTGCATTTATTGTCACCCCCCAGCCAGCTGAACAGTTGTACGTCTGCAAATTTGTGGCTAGTGGAATGTCCACGGGTGTCAGTTGATTCCTTTAAACGACGATCAATGCCTTGGAGATGCCTAGCAATGACTACAGCAAAAGGAGACGCCACTCAAATCACTATTACCAGTGGTGCCATTCACAAAGCTCTCCCTCAACTTGACCTCCAGCTGCTGCTGTGATGCGTGGATTTGCAGCGAACGCGAAACAGACGAGTGGTACCAACAAGTAAACGACATGCATCTTCCTCGTTGCCGGTTTCACTGTACCAGTCGACGAACTGCACTTGCTGCCTAAATAATGGCACGACCACCGACAATTGGTGCTCGTGCTTCTGCATGACAAAGTGGAGTGGGTGGAAGAGTGGGAGTGTGGAGTGTGAGACCGCAGTGAGCGGATCGGACAATCGTAATACGCATCACAATGCATGGGAATGCACCCACCCAAATTCCAATCCGTGAGTCGGAATGTGGTGTTGAGTGTACAGGTTCGCGGTGCTCTCCTATGCACAGATTTAGCAACACCCAATTCCTCTAGAACATTGTGTAAGTGTGTGCTCAATTAAATGCTGTTGCACACCATCGTGCATGAGCAATACACCACCGGAGTATTGGGTAGACTTCAGCAGGGAGGAGGAGTGAATTTCCCCTCTGCATACAGCACCGCATTTAGTACGGCCTTTCAAATGAAGTCTTAAAAAAAAATCTGTGTTCATGACCAAACACACGTGGGAGCTTTTCACATTTGGTCGCCTCGACTCAATCCGGTACACATCTGCAAGTAATCCGTATTGCTTTATTCATCCATCACCTTATTTCTATGCTAATAGTAAGGGTAATAATCAGGTCCCTGATGTATAAGATAACTAAAGCCGGATTTGATGACACAAGTACTTCGGGAAGTTGAAAAATGCGTACCTTGGAAAAAATCACTCAATGAAATCGAGATTAGTGCATTGGATTACAAGAAATGTGCATTTTAGTTCGCTTGAGTTGACAAAAGAGCAGCACAAGAATGGCATTGGAATGAAGCTCTGAATCTCGCGCTACGTGCAATTCGCGTTGACAAGCCTTGCGACTAAATAATTTCAATTGTATTTTCACAGATGTTAACCATTGTATCACTTTGACAGATATTTGGCCTTCGGGCTAAAGAACACCTAGCAATTTTGTGAAGCATCATATTAGAGGTACCTACTTTGCTGAATAATAGCAACAAGTTTTAGAGGAAGAAGAAGAAGACTGTGCGTGTACAATAGACCCTCGTCAAAGGCAAGCAAAATCTTCAATTGGATGAGATGAACGAAGTTGGGCAAAAGTAAGGTTGGAAATGGAAATGTGACCATCCTTGAAGGGCGAAGCAAAACAGGCACCAAGTAGTCTGCGCACTTTGCACTACAGCTAGAGGGATGAGGTTCATAAACTGTGTAGCCTTGCAATAAACTCACATGTCATTTTGAAACTCCACACCTATACTTGTACATTGGGTATCGGAAAGATAAAATATGAACTAATTTTTCTGCTTTGATGTGAGCACCAATATTTCAACCTGGCATTGATGCAGTTCCACAATACATAAGAAGCAACCAATCAAGTAGCTCTGCAAGGTATATATAAGCATGTGGACATATTGATGTGTGTGCAGCTAAGAAATAAGGGATGATGAAGTACCATATAGCTTGCCTATTGACACTACTGATGATGGAGGCAGCATTATTGCTGAGCCCACAGGGGACAAGTGAACCTCAGCAGAAATCTGGTGGCAGTGAACTTGAACCCGCATTTGATCTTTTGAAAACTGGTGGTGATAACAAGCATACACCTGGTGGCGATGAACGCAAACCCGGATTAGACCCACAAACTCCTGGTGACGATGGCGTGCAAAAACGTGGTAATGATGAACACAAACCACCAAATGATCCAGAAAAACCAGACCTTGCCGATGCGCTAAAACCTGGCGGCGTTGATAACAATGAACCAACTCATCCAGAGGAACCTGGTGGTAATAGCGGACACAAACTTGGCAATGATGTACAGAAATCTTCGGTCAGTCCAGAAGAACCTGGCCCTGATTTACAGCAGAAACCTGGTGTTGATAAACACAAACCACCAGTTGATTCAGAAAAATGTGGCGCTGGTCCTCATCAAAAACCGGGTGTTAAAGATGAGCCAAAACCTGGCGGCAGTGAAACCAATCCATCAACTGGTCCCACGGGAACTGGTGGTAATAGCGAGCAAAAACTTGAGAGTGAAGAACACAGACCACCAGTCGATTTGGAAAAATCTAAAGTTGATCCTCAGCAGAAACCGGGTGTCGATGCTGAGTCAAAATATGTTGGTAATGAATACAAAACTGCAGTTGATACAGGGGAAACTGACGATGATGAGAGCAAATTCTCAGTTAATCCCCAGCAAATACCTGGCCTTGATTCTCAGCAGAAAACTGGTGTTGATGACGAACTAAAACCTGGTAGTGATGAATACAATCCACCAGTTGACCTAGCGGAACCTGTCGGTGATGAGCACAAATCCCCAGTTGATCCTGAAAAATCTGACGTTGATCCACAGCCAAAACCTAGTGATGATGATTACAGGCACTCCGTTGGACTAGAGGAATCAGACAATGATCCTTTTAAGAAGCTCGGCTTCAGAAACATATCAACAAGGTCTCAGCCTTCCTTAACTTCAGCGTTTCTATCTTTATTCCTTTCCACCCTCCTTCTTTACCCTCCTACGTATGCTTAATTCTCATTAAAGACACTAGCTTTACACTCTTGCACATTTCAATAAAAAATGAAATAAGTTCTCTCCCTGGAAAGCACATTCTTCTTCTTCAAAATATGTTGCCATTTGGTAATTGGAGTGGTTTGCATGTATATCTTCTCTCAACAATCTACAGGTTTCGGTTAATATTTTCATTTCCTATGCTAAATTTGCATTACTAATTTAATTGGAATGGACCAACTAATGAGTTTAAATGCATTAACTGAGTGAAGGTATCCCCCTTTCCATACCAATCGTATCAGTATTTAGAAAATTATGGAAGCCTATTCGTGACGTCTCACGTTTTGATGTTTAGGAGGTCACTTTGCAGGATCTTCTGATTTAGTCAATAGTTCCGCCTTACCTAGGCTATTTTCATATTTGCAAGTTAAAAATGCATGATGTCTGCTTTTCTGCCTATGCTCTTTCGAGTAACTTTACGTAATGCTTACTTTGTGTTTGGAACCTGTTTCTAATGCAGATTCTATCGCCTACAATGTCAACTACCTTTGCCTATACAATTGGCTCATGCTGCAGCTCAACCGCCACCATGTGATTGGATCGCACACACCTTGACCAATCACAGCTCGGCAATGAATGCAATCACTCAATTTTGAGGAAAAGTCAAATGAGCAATCAGTTCTTTGACTTCTACAACCCATTAGCTTAGAATTTCGTCATCAAATACCTTCACTTATGTTATTCAGGAAGAGATAGGCAAGTGGACTATGTAATGTCCGTCCTGTGGTTACACGAACCACTTTACGCTTTTACGCTTCCCTTATGCTACAGCTACTATACCGTCCTCCATTAACAAGCCCTCTTATGGTCATGCGCTTCAGAATGCTGACTGCATTTTGAATTGGTAATGCGATCGCTTTCCAGTAAGATTACCCATGTGAACCTGCTCGGCATTTCAGCACATTCATTTTGTAGTCGGCAAACGATCTGTCATTTGGCATTTGGCAAATGTCATGCACATGTTTGCAAATACATCAGGTTTACTCTCCGTTTCATAGATGGCAGTAGCAAACCAGACGATCAGGAAGTGAATGCGGAATCGTGGAATTAAGACCAAGGTGTAAACTCATCTCGAGATTGGCATTTTAACAGCACCAACTCTCAGCATCTGCACCACCGACAATGCAATTATCATGTCCTCTGCATTTGGTCGCAGACATTGAACTCAGCTGCCATCAGTTTAATTACACTTTGCATTTAAAGATTAATCCGACATGGCACTTTATGCGCTTTGAATTAAAACCATTTTTATTTGCAAACCCGCCTCACTGTCGGGGTTTTGTGTCAGAAGTCTTCTCTTCCAAAATCAGAGTTAGAACTTGTTAAACTAAAGTAAGGCCGAAAGAGCACAGACAGAAAAGTGGACATTCTGTGCTTTTAACTTACAAATAGATGAAGAGCCAAGGTAAGGTGGAACTACTGATTGACAAAGGCGATCCTGCAAAGTAACCTCCCCAAAGTCTAAACGTGCGAAGTCACGAATAGGCTTCCATCATTTTCTAAACACTGATGAGATTACTTTAGAAATGGTTTACCTTTACTAATTGCTGGAGCTGTTAGGCTTGTGGCAGTATGTATGCCCTTCGAATAACTCAACGAAGATAAGAAAACGATTGCAAATGGATCATTCTGCCTACGGTCAAGGCAAGCAAAGTGCAGATGGCTTGTAAATGGGCAGCGGTCTACAAGCGAGTAGTAAATAAATGAAGAGCCTATTAGAAAAGAAATATGGAAGAAGTCGTTCTGTGCTTTCAGGCGAATTCATTGTCACAAAGCAATTACGAATTGCGTGGGCAGTAACATTAGTGTTCTTCAACACTCTTCTCGCATTTACCTCCAACAGATCCATTACAAATATAAATGTGAGCAAGGCATTGACAGGAAGGCGTGGAATATGCATTTCCAAAACAGAAACATGCAGCGTTATGCAGAATTACGTAGAGGATGTGCGAAGTGAGAATGCACAGCGACACTTTCAGCGCACTGCTGTCGTCCAGGAATTCATTGTTCTCGTAGTCAGGGATTAATACTGATTATCGGTGCATGAGCAGACAATATAGACAAAGCAGTGCATCTAAACTGTCTGGTTTACATTTAGAGCTAAACGCGATGGAATTACTTCAGGTGGTTTCGAATCAAATAAAGGCCTTTGGCACTTGTCACATTGGCATCATGGAGAGGCTTTGCACACAATTCCAACAAGAGGATCACGCATGCTATTAATACATGAGTGCGATCCAGTAGAGCTTTACAGAAGTGGCAATTCAAGATTGAGTGGGTATGTAGAATTTCACAGAGGTTCTTCTTACAAACCCTTTCCTCTTCATTTGCTTTGCTTTATACTGAAATCACCTCTACCACGAGCACAATGCCAGCATTCTGTGAATTTCATCCAATATTCTTCCCACATTTTCACATTGTAACATTCTCATGCCTAAATATAGCGTGTAACGAGAAAGTGTTCATCCACTTGCTAAAATTCTCCCTTCATAAGTCTAAATGCTCTGCACTGATGTTTCACTCCACCAAATCACTCAAACTGGCATTTCACTACACCATTCCTTAGATTAGTGAAATCTCACACTTTTAATTGTCATGCACATGCCTTTATAGGAAAGGGTAAGAAATTGAATAAGGCCAGACGATGGCAATACTGCGTCATAATTTGCACACGTAACATTTTACAGAACACTGCGTTGTGCTTTGACCTACCGAGGAGGATGAATGTAGTCTCTGATAGTGTGCTTGAATGGTTAGATCACAACAAAGCTAGTGAAAGCACCAATAGAAACACAATTTCAAAATTCGGACAATGGGAAAAACTGAAACAACTTGATGATTCCGAGAAACGCGCTTATTTCTTCCTTATGATCACATCCTATTTCAGCGAGTTTCTGACGCGGTTGACATTGGATGTTGAAATCGACATATTGTGCACTACATGACGTAAGCATGCTTGTATTCAGACTCCAAATTGACAAACAAAGCCAAAGTAGCTGTGGCAGCTCAGTTGTGCGTTCTATATGCTCCTCACCATCCACGCAGTTCTGCCATCGTTGCCTCACATAGTGAGCAGAATGCGGAGTTGGATATCAAGAAATGGTAAACGTGTTCTCAGTTTCTCTGTCTAATCACTGCGGCCCCACCAAGCACAGCTTCACCCGAGACGTCGCTGACGTATTGAT